AACACTTTTCGCCGCCCCTCCCCCACTCCCCTCTCCCCATCCTTTTGATCAGAATTTTCTATGTCGTTACGAGCGTCACGCGGCAAGAGTATTCATTAAGAAAATCGTTAAAACTAAGGTCTGCCGTAGACCGCACAATTTCGCCGAAAATAACGATCTTATTTTTCTCGTTTTCTGGGTTTTTTTTTCCCCCCGGTATGGGCTTTATTTCACGCGATTGCGCTCGAATTCGCCGAAGCGGATAAATCATCGGTTGAATCGGGAGAGCGTTTTAGGACCGCGAAATTTTCGCACGCAAAACCAGAAAAAGCTCGCGGGAATAAGTTGCTTCGTAGTTCACGGAAAATTTTAATTTCGAGTATTATTCGTTCGCTTTGGGAGATGCTCCTTTTTCTCTCTCTCTCCCGTCTATTCGGTTTTTCAAGTGGGGACTGCTACTTTTACGTTTTTTTTTTTGTTAAATTCAATGTCGGCGAACGTTCACAATGTGTTTCGCCACTGTCTCTGATCGATGAAAAGTGTCTCTTTGTGGCGACTTGCCGTTCGAAATATTGCGACTGAAAATCGCAATTAAGAGCAGGCAGCTCGGCTTGTCAACATCAGCGGCGAAATAAGCTCTTGCACCCTCGCTCATTTCGGAGTCGGCTGAAATGCGATGAGCGTTTAGTTATTAAAACGTTCTAATTAACATATCCGCACAACGAAGCAGCGAAGTAGATGGAAAGAATGGCGAAGGGGGGATGCTCGCGAGTTCGACGTATAAATCAGTCCGAGGGTCGCGGCGCGAATATATATCTTCCTACGTGAAATATTCGCGGGCGAGCGAGTTCATAAGCCGCCAGGTCGAGGGCAGCGGGCATCGCAGTCGAAGAAGAATGAAGAAGAAGAAGAATAGAGGGAAGAAAAATTCGCCGGCTGCTGGGCTAAGCGACGAGTGTCTGCGAGGGAGCAGGTATAGGAAAATCGTTGCTCAGCAAGCGAGAACCGCAGGCGTATAACGATTCGGGCGAGGCATTCTCATTCTTTCCCAGCAGGGGCCCTTCGACGCAACTCCATGCCGGAAAATTCGCACGCGGGGCGTAGCCGCACACACGCACTCACCGACGCACGCACACGCGCGCGAGCACCCCTCTGTTTGGCTTCCTTTTCTCTCTCTCTCTTTCTCTCTCTTGGGGCCACGCAGCGCTGCAGCAGCGCGACCTGCTTTTTCGGGAATTCGTACGCGCCGTAGGCAAAGGAAAAAAGGCAAGCAGGGGAGGGAGGGAAATAGAGAGAGAGAGAGAGAGAGAGCCACTGCTGCGTGCTGCTGAAAAAAGGCCGAGGAGAGGGAGGAGAGAGAGAGAGAGAGAGAGAGAGAGAG